TAGTTTTTAATGCATTAAGTAGGAATAATTCTTTGTCAAAACATATCCCATTACATTTATACTCTAATCTTCAAATCCCCATGTAAGCTTCACCCCACCTGCATTTCGCAAGTAGTCCAGAGACCTATTATTGTTATGTGCAGTTTTCAGCTGAAAAATACTTGCCTATCCCTGATCTAAGAAAAGGCAAGCTTCTGAATTCTGCAGGGTGGTCTGTGTGTGTGTGCGCGCGCATGTGATCCATACCACACCCACACGCCACTAGGGGCTCAATACCTGTCTACTGTGCTATTCTCCTTTTGAGGTGAGCAATGTTGTAACTATACAATGTTGAGGCACTAAAGTTCACATATATTTAAAAAAAAAAATTCTCAGTCCAGGATAGGAGCATCTGCATGGTCCATGCAGCCCAAACCAAGGATGTCACAAATGGATTCCACTTCCACCCATACAACTTCTGTTTCCGTAGCAAATCAGCTTTCAATAAAGGACACCTTCAGTTGTGCGAGAGGAGGCACACTACACGACCACTTACCTGCACCCGTTTGGTTTCAGGTTCTGCAATCACACCACATTTCTTAAGATCCAAATCTCCAATGCTACGGCTCATTGCAAGTCTGCCATTCACGTGGGGCTGCCCCAAGCTGTTCCAGGCGATAAAACCACCACATTTCTTGATTCTTTCATTTTAAAAAAGGGAAAAAATATGAAATAACTGCTACTATCATGCATGTTATGTTTCGACAACCAATTCACACAACAGTTTTACTTGAGGGAAAGCGCCCCCCTTCGCAAAGCATCCCATTTCTACAAGTGCAAAAGACTTCTCTTTAAATTAAAAAGAAAAAGAAAAAAGCCCAAAACTGCACATTTTGCAGAAGTACCTTTCTTTCTCATCCTTCCGTTCTGGAGTATGATCAATGGTCAGCTTCTCAGCTTTTCCTTTGCGGCATAAAAGTGCACGGCTATCGCCCACGCTGGCTACCACCAGCTCGATGCCATCTCGCAGCAGAGCCACGGTGGCTGTGCTCCCGGTATTCAGCAAGGTAGCTATAAATGTCACACAGAGAGAGCTATTCAGCACCCAAGCCCCAAACTTGCCTGCAGCATAATTTCTTCAGCTTTAAACTGCATGAATTGTGCTAACTCCACTGAAGAGTCACTGCTTGAAAATGTTTAAGCTATGAAGACAGAAAAGGATGGAAGAAAGAGCAGGAGAAACACAACATGGCTCCATGCAAGGGGAAGGTGGTTACTAGCTAAGAAGGCCACAAGATACTAAAACGTAAGTTAAAGGACACAGTTCCCCCACCCCAAAGATCATATATCCTATAGAGTCCTTGACATTCTTGCAAGACAGAAATGGACAATCTGGGGTCCTAGGGCACATGTGAACCCTGGAGACTTCCAAACCATCTTTAAGTCTTTTACTGACTCTGGACAGGGTCACACTATCCCTGAAAAAGCAAACCTGAGATTCAGGGGTCCTTCAGGGCTACTGCTTGGCTAGTAGAAGGCTGTGGCCAGGATGGCCTTTTCTCAACTTCATCAAATCCATTAGTTGTGGCTCTTTTTGAACAGCAAGCCTTGGCAACAGTGACTCATGCTTTCATCAACTTGAGGTTAGACTGCTGTAAAATACTATATTTGGGGCTGCTTTTGAAAACTACCTAGAAACTACAGTTGGTCCAGAAGGCAGCTGCCTGCAGGCTGATGGGTGAAAGCCATTCGGACGGCATAGCATCTCCTGAATTGTTTGCTGCTTGCCAAGAAGTTTCCAAGTACTATTCAAAATACAGTGGTACCTCGGTTCACAAACGCTTCTGTTCACGAACAATTCGGTTCACAAACAGCTCCGTTCGCAAAATTTTGCCTCCGTTCGCAAACGCCGGATCGGGTTACGAACAGAATCCGCAGCCATTTTCCCTCCCGTAACACGTGGTCGCGGCTTCCTGTAGGGAGGGGGACTCTCCCTCCAAGCAATATCCACCTCCCCACCCGCCTTCCTGTCCTCCACGCCAGAAGTCGCGTCGAGCAAGGTTAGCATTCTCTCTCTTTGTGCTGTACTTTGTGTCGTATTTTTGCGGTTTAAAAACAAACAAACATGTGGTTCAGGACGGATTAACCATAATTACATTGAACCTTATGGGGAAATTTGATTTGGGACGCGATCAAAAATCGGTTGGTGACCAAATTCGGAG